CAAATTAAATCAAGAACTTATATATATATATATATATATATATATATATATATATATATAAAATTAGTTAAAACTAAAACATACATAGAAAAGAAGTATAAGGAATCACTAAATATAAAATACATTAAAAAATATATATATATTATATGATGTCATTGTTAGCCATAGAAAACCCCGTAACTGTTAGAAAATATTTTGAGATTAGAAAAATTATACTTACCAACCAAAATCCGTATCCTGAGTTTTGTAAAGGCTTATATCATAAAAACAATGAAAACCAATAATATTAGAATAATTAAAGTTAAGAATTAGAATTTTATTTTATTGAAAATTTATTTTTCTTCCTACCTTAAAGAAAATGAATTAAAAGAGTGAACTTGTTAGCCTACAAAATAAAATCATTAACAAACATCATGAAGAAATTAAACATGAAAATGTAAAAAAAAAATACTAAACACTAAAAACAAAAATAGTATACATGATGATTAGAAGAAGGACTAACTAACCTTTTATTGCATACCTTCTTTAATAGTTTATAAGAGATGAAGTTGATGATCTCCATAGTTTTCCAAAATTTCGATGAAACTGAAACAAATTTCGATCAAGTCAATGGTAGTGATACATCCTCATGATCGTCTCTCATACATACATGCATAAATAGACAAATAATAATATGTTAGAAACGACAAAGCTTCATAAAATTATAAACAATAACAATATAAAGAAATATGAACTAAAAACGAAATTAGAGGTTTGGCGGAATGAATATTTTGATTAGTGGAATAGCATGATCTTATATATATAGTGAAGTAGACCGTGCTGGTTTAGGGTTTTCAAGAGGAATATTCTGTTTATCTTGCTTTAAATGTTTTTAATTATTTACGTTTTAAGAAAATTTTATAGTTAATTCTTTTTGTAAACTTGTCGAAGAATTATTAATACTCAAATCGTAAAGATATTTATGAGAGTATATTTCTATTGTATATTCATTACTTTTATATATTTATTGTTACGATCTATTTTAAGTAATCTATATTTATGTCAAAGAATAAAAATTAATTTTTTGCTAAACTGATTCGAAATTGATTTTCAAATGATTATTCTTTCCAAAATCTTAACTAAAGATTTGAGCATTAAACGTTTTTAAAGTAATGATATATAGAGTAATTGGTTTCTTTAAAATCGAGATTTACGCAAGATTTTAGGAACAATAGATGAGATAAGGTATGTGATAGTAATTAGTTTAGATTGTGGAAATATTCGAAATCAATTAGAGATAAAATTTATTACGGTATGATTAATGTGGCTATTAGTTTAGGTAATATTAACAAAATTTATTCTGCGATTTATGATTGGCCAAATAAGGGATTAAAATTATTACAAACTTCCTAAAATTTTTTATCCAAGATCCGGATAGAGTTAAACCCAGGTAAAACCCGGATCCAAATGAATTAATGCAAAAAAACCCTGTAAAAATGTATATGTAGATTGTTATTTTGATTTTAAATTTATTGCAATTTAAATGGGCAATTGCCTATATTTAATCTGTTATTGTAAAAGAAAAATGACATAGCTTATTATTAGAATATTAAACAAATTTATTAACATAATATATATATATATATATACTGTTAAAAAAATAAATACATTTTTTTCTTTATAATTTCATAATATATGTATATATTGTTAAAATCTGGACATTTATTTTGAGTATAAATATGAAAACGATTTTCCATTAAAATCGGCTATTTATTAGGGTCATTAATATGAAAGATATTAAGACAACATGACTTCATTTATTAGTTTGAAATTAAGACAACATCCTTTAAATTGCTAATCCAAGATCCGAATAGACTAAAACCCGGATCAAACCCGGATCCAAAAGAATTAAAGCAAAAAAGTACTATAAAAATGTATATGTAGATATTCATTCTCTTAATTACTGCATGTACTGCAATTGTTAGAAATTGTAATCTTCTTTTATAATATAAATTCTACCAAAATGTAGATTCCATTATCTGAATTTTTTAAAATTCTCTAAATATAGAATGTAAATCTTCAGAAAAAGAAACTAAATATTATTTTAGATTACGTTTTAAATAGAATTTAATTTGTTTAGATTACGATCTACAACTTAATGGCAAACACAACCTTACCTGTCAACATGCGTGATGCAATCCCTTGGCTCTTATGGGGTTTATGGAAAGCACGAAACTCGACTATTTTTGCAGGACAGGCCAGTAACCCGAACATTCTCATTGCGTCGGCTTTGGAGGAGGCGGAAGAATGGATTCAACAAAGTTTGATTATTTCCCAAGACACGAAAGTGTGGAACAGACAGACGATACGGGTAGAAAAAACTTGGCTTAAACCAGCTTGGGGAGGCCTTAAGTGTAATGTACATGCTTCTTGGGTGAATGATTCTCTACATTGTGGCGGGGCTTGGCTGCTACGAAATCATATGGGATATGCAGTACTACATGGTCGTGACGCCTTCCTGCCCATGATCAATTGCGTGGCTGCATAATTGTTTTGTATACTGTGGTGTCTTCGAAGCCTCCATAGTGTGTGGATTCATTCTTGTGAAATATGGTCGGATTGCAGCGTAGCGGTACGAGCTTTGGAACAGCCAGCAAACTGGCCAAAATATCGATCTCTCCTTAATAAAATTGCTCAAGTGATACAGGTGATGCGGGATGTGAATTTTAAGATCTCTTCACCAAAAGCCAATACTTTGGCTAGGGATATTGCTTGTAGTGTTACACGAGAAGGTCGTTTCAATTCATACTTAGCTTCCGGAGGACCAACTTGGTTACAGTCGCGAATTGAGGAAGAACGCAGACACGGTTGAAGTGGTTGGAGTAGGAGGCTGGTTTTTTCACGCCGTTGGTGTTGGCCTTTATGGCTCTGTTTTTTTAATGGTTTATTGCTCTGTTTTACTCTGTTTCTTTGAACAGCTGTGACTTTTCTCTTCATTTTATTATTCTAATACAAGACATTAAAAAAAAAAAGATTACGAATCTACATAATTTAGAAATTGTCTAATTTTTTAAAAAAAATTAAAACTAAATCGTCTAAACCATAAGGCCCCATCGATTTGTGTTTTATGCTACTCGTTTTTCCAAATCTCACCCCAAAACCTCAGAAATTATTCTTCAAAATTTGCATTAACGTTTCTAATAAATTTTAGTTAAATAATGTAGCCATACAAAGTTACATAATATTGAATAACATTTAAATTTAATAGAATTGAAAATTTAACATCTTCAATAACACTAGAATTTAAAACAATTTATAAAATCTCTTATTGAATAACACTAGATTTAACTTTCTATTAAATTTTGTCACATTACGTAGTTCAATACCCCTCCCCCCATGTAGTTCATCAATACTTATAATTATTTCTCACATATAGGTGTCCAAAAAAAACTATGAAGTGTGTATATATAATTTTGTTATTCATTCTCATATAAAAATAAATATATATATCAGACTTTTTAGAAATATATCAGCAGATATATACTATTTATTCAATTAATAAAATAATTTTAAAATAAATTTAAAAGAGAATGTTCATAAATCAAATGAAAAAAGAAATTATAAAATTAATGATTGTGGTGGAAGTAAAAAACAAGGTCAAAAGAAGAATAAAATGCTTTTAATTAACTAGTCTCAAATCTAGGTAAGGTAGGAGGAGGAGTGTAAGCACTTAACCATTTGTGGTTAATCATTCTAGTTAAATATTTATACAAATTAGGAAATAAATTAGGAAGTCTTGAAAGCGCGAAATTCCCAATTATATGCTGCAAAAACTGTTGATCATAACATTCTGATCGCTACATCATTAGAGGACGCGGAGGAAGATACAAGGTTAAATCATCAGCAAACAAGGATCGAAACACGTTGTCTTAAACCAGCGTGGGGATGGCTTAAATGCAATGTTCATGCCTCATGGATAAAGGACGTTTTCCATTGCGGCGGAGCGTGGCTGTTACGAAATCAAGCTGGAGATGCCTTCCTCCACGCCAGAGATCACTTCGGAACTGCACTGCATCTTGTGGTGCTTACAAAGACTCCATCAGGTTCATGTGGATTCATGTGAGATTTGGTTAAATTGCACGGCAACCATTCGTGCTTTAGCTCAACCGGGAGATTGGCCAAAATATTGTTCTATTCTCCATCAAATTGATCATGTAATACAGGTGATGCGGGATGTTACGTTTCAAATCTCTTCACCGAAAGCGAATTCTCTGGCTAGAAATATTGTCTCCAGTGTCACACGAGAAGGACGATTTAATTCATACATGGCAATCCGAGGACCAGCTTGGTTACACAACAGAATCGAAGAGGAACGGCGAAGATGCAACTAAAAGCTCACTGGTGTATCAGCCTTCTCCGTCACTTTGAAGACGCTTTCGCTTGGCTCTATTTTTCTAATATGGTTCCCTTTAATTATTTGTTCTGTTTTATTATTGCTCTGCTTTATATCTCTCTTTTGCCTTTGCTACTAAACTCTGAAGTTTTTCTCCCTTATTTTAATGAAAGACGTTAAAACAAAAAAAAAAATTGGGAAGTTTTTTTTTTTTTTAATGAAATTTGAGAGAAAATGAGGGTAAATTTGGGTTTTGAAATTTAAAAAACCTATATGATCAATCTACTAAAATAAGGTATATATGGATAAAAATTGTAGTAGATATCCTTTATATCTAATTTTCCCAAATTATAAAGAAAAAAAAAACATAGGAGCAAAGTTATGAAAAAAAAAAATTCTAGAATTTGATTTGCAATTTACCTTTTCAAGATTAGTATAATCCTCCATTTAAGACTCGTCTTTACTAATCATACACTACACTTTATACTACTGTTATGTTTTCTATTTTTGACCATGCAATGCAATAAACATGACAGTTACTTCTGGTAACTAAAGCATCATCATCATCTTCACATGTGAACCTTACACATTCCCATGATATTCTGTATAATGTAATTGCAATGCAAGGCAAGACATCTCTACTTTGTCTCTCTCACCATAAAAATTAAAGAAAATAAATAAAAACACTAAAAAAAAATTTCACTACCTAACACTTGATACCTCCATCTCCTCTCTCTTATTACCTTCCACCAGATCTCACTCCCCACATTTCAAAGTTTTCTCCTTTTTTTGTTGGTTTCCTTCTCTTCTTCATACTAAACCCAAGACTTAATAAATTCCTTTAAATTATCTATTCACTGGCTGGGCCAGAGTGTTTATTTGAATATGTTTTTTTACAGTTTTAGTGTAGTTGTTGTAGTTACATGACAGCTCCTTACAAGCTTAGATCTCCACAGTCCTTTCGTTATCTTCCTTCCACATTGACACTTGCCTTAAGAAGAGGGCCAAAGAAAGGTCTTGTCTCTTTGTCTGAGCTGTTTATTTTCTTGATTTTCTTGCATCTTGAATTTCCTTCATTACAGTCTTTCTCCTGAAATTTTTCTAAGTGTTCTTCGCACTGCTCTGTTTTTATTTGGTCTAGGATCTGGAATTCTTTCTTCTTCAAGATTGTTAAATGGGTGCTAATTCTTCAAAGATCTGAAAACATCAAGATCAGGTAATTAAACATTAAATTCTCATCTGCTTTGGTACTTACTCTGTATGTATTGTCTGTTTATATTTATTTAAGACCCAACATTTTGCTCAAAAAAAAAAAAAAAAAAAAAAAGACCCAACATTATTGCTTGTGTTCTTTAATATGTCCTTGATTTTAGCTACTTCTGTTGTCCTTTTGTGTGCTTTCCTGGGAAATTTTTGTCATCCTGTGAATAAATTTCAATGTGGATAAACTTGGGACCACAAAAAAACTTCGAGACTCCATCATTAAGCTCATAGCATTTTCTTGTATCAACTTGGACTCTGTTTATTTCAATATGATTTTGAAAATTCAGATTTAATTTTGGAAAATTTTAGGAAAAAATGGGAGGTGACTTGAAAAGCCAGCTATCTAGAGAGAGTCATGTCTTTGGACTTAAGGTTTGGGAAGTAATTGGTATAGCTGTTGCATTGCTGACCATAGTCATCCTCTCTGTTCTTTCGTTTTGTCTTACTTCGAAAAAGAAGTCAAGAAGATCGAAAACCGGTCTTCCCGTTATCCAAACTCCTCCGGTGGTCTCCAAGGAGATCAGAGAAGTGAGAGTTGAGCATGTCTCAGCAAGTAACTTTGCTCCTGGTGAAGGCATTCTTCTTACAATTCAAGACAAAAACAATAAAGACTCAGAAAAAGTCATGGTTCATTTGGATATGAGGAAGAAGAGAAGTAGTAGTGGCCGGTCAGGCTCGTTTCATCATTTAGAGATCATAGATAAACATTCTGAGTCGGCCGAAGAAGTTTCCGCTTCTTCATCATTGTATAACATTGCAACTCCATCACCATTGTCTGGTTTGCCTGAGTCTCACCTTGGTTGGGGCCACTGGTTTACACTCAGAGATCTTGAAGTAGCAACTAATAGATTCTCAAAGGAGAATGTGATTGGTGAAGGCGGTTACGGCGTTGTCTACAGAGGAGAGTTGCTCAATGGAACTCCTGTTGCAGTTAAAAAGATTCTTAACCAGTTGTGAGTGATCTTGTTTATAAGAATTTGAATTTCTTTTAGCTTTTATTTGTTTTGGTTTTGCTTAATTGATTGATTTTTTAGGGGACAAGCTGAGAAAGAGTTTCGAGTCGAGGTTGATGCTATCGGTCATGTGCGTCACAAGAACTTGGTCCGGCTTCTTGGTTACTGCATTGAAGGCACACACAGGTTGGTGAATAATTGTCCAACTTAGGAACCAAATTTGTGAGTTAGTTACTTAGACTAATGGGAATTGCTATTAGGATATTGGTTTACGAGTATGTGAATAATGGAAACTTAGAACAATGGCTTCACGGAGCAATGAGACAACATGGATATCTAACTTGGGAAGCTAGAATGAAGGTTCTCGTCGGCACATCGAAAGCGTAAGCAAGCAAGATTCTTTCTTTTATCGCAATTTCTTCTACTCATATACTGATCGTTTCTCCTCTCTATAGTCTTGCATATCTCCATGAAGCAATAGAGCCAAAAGTAGTGCACAGAGACATCAAGTCAAGCAACATACTAATCAACGACGAATTCAATGCAAAGGTTTCAGATTTTGGCCTTGCAAAGTTGCTTGGCGCTGGAAAAAGCCATGTGACAACTCGAGTGATGGGAACATTTGGGTGAGAGGCTTATAAAATTTAAAGAAATCAAGAAGTCTTTAGTATCGAAGCTAAATGCTTTTTGTGGACGTTTTGTAGGTACGTTGCTCCCGAATATGCAAACACAGGGCTGTTAAATGAAAAGAGTGATGTCTACAGCTTCGGTGTTGTTCTTTTAGAAGCAATCACAGGACGAGACCCTGTGGATTATGGCCGTCCTGCTCATGAGGTAATAAACTATTGTCATTTAGTTTAATGAGTTTCATCGCAGACCAACATCGGATTATTTCAGGTGAACCTAGTGGACTGGTTGAAGATGATGGTTGGAACAAGACGATCAGAGGAAGTAGTGGATCCAAACATAGAAGTAAAGCCACCAACAAGGTCATTAAAACGAGCCCTTTTGACGGCTCTAAGATGCGTTGATCCAGATTCGGACAAACGGCCGAAAATGAGCCAAGTTGTACGTATGCTTGAGTCTGAAGAATACCCAATTCCAAGAGAGGTTAGTGTTCTAGAGAGCTGATTAAACCAAACATAGTGATAGACCATAACAGGTGATGGTTATAACTGGAATTATGTTTCTTTCAGGACCGAAGGCGTCCTAGAACGAGAGAAGGGAGTATGGAGATAAACTCAGACACTGACATGAGTACTCCAGTTTCAAGATCACAGAGCAAGAGACAATAATCTGAGTAATTTATCAATCTGCGTAAGCTTTCAACGCATTTCATGATTATGAGCTATTCTTTGAACTTGTTCTTTTGCATTTTCTGTTTTTTTTTTCTTTGAATTGAGATGAGTAGAGGCCATATAGGATTGTTTGTACATGGAACTTGGTTTGTATTTAGAGCTCCTAAATCAAAATAATATATTGGTGTGTACAGTATTATTGTATCAGCTCTTCAGATTCTACTCTACCACATACCATACAACAATAAAATCACACGAACCATTGAAAGCAAATTCATTCACTCCCTTGTTGAAAAAATTGGTAGGCGTTAGTCGGGCGCTCGAGCCGGGCCTAACGATTAATCGGTTAATCTGAGATTACACGGAAATTAGTCGAAGATTAGTTTAAGGCTTTTATCTAATTAATTATATATATATATATATATATATATACACACATTATTTGTTGATAAAACATATAAAGTTGGTTTGGTGTCGTGGTTTTAGTTATTATTGTGCACTTATATTCACGAGTTTTAGGCCCCCAAAACTCATTTCAATTTATTTTTTAACTTACCCTTTAATAAAGGGTAAAACAGACATTAAACAATCATATTTTTCATAAACGTTGATGAGTTCATAATCCTAATAATGACGGTTGCTCATTTTTCATACATTTGACATCATTTTTAACTTGATTTTGTTCTTGTTTGTGCACAGATATGATAGATCTGACATGTATCATAGAATCTTATAAGTAAACTACAAAAAAAAATTGATTTTCGCCGATTACTTATCCGATTTGGACAAATTCTGACGGCTACCGAACGCTTAACTACCGCTTAGGAGACCGTGGAGGTCGCGTTAATTCACTCCAAACACCAAGTGTTGACCGATAATATCTAGTATCCACTAGACCAACGTGAGGTTGTCCTTTCAATAAAGAGAACACTCGAGTGTTTTTCTTTGGTATGTACAAAAAATTTAAAATGTAAAAATTGAGTCATTTGGTCCCGTAGACTGGTTAGAGCGTTGGTCTTATGAGCCGAAGGTCGCGGGGTCGAGTCCCGCCGGGACCAAATACTGTCTAAGTTTTTAAAATTCTTTTTTGTTGAAATTACTATTCTTCAAGTGTTGCCCATGTATGGCCATCTCGGGTGTTGTAGAGTCTATTTTCTTTACCAATTTAAAAAATGCATGCTCAAAATTTGGATTCAATCTTAGATTCACCAAAAGTCTCGTACTTATAAATTTTCTTTTTTTTTACCGTGAGATTGACAGTATTATCGATGGAGTATCAAATGCTTCTGATGAAAATTTGTTTGATTCATATGGACAAATTAATAAGTAATCATCGATTCGTCCAGAAAAAGATTATATGGTTTCATTTTTCAAGTAAAGTTGGTATTTATTTTATTTAGTACTCCCTCTGTTTTATATTAGGGCCAAATAAAGCTAACAAATAAGCTTGAAGTTCAGAATATTTACGAGAAAACCACTTCTTTTTAAATGATGCACGTGGAAGCAACAATTTTGACTTTTTAGGGAAAAAAAAAGCAACTGACGATCAATCACACACTCTTTCAGTGTCACCCGGCACGACAGATTCGGGCGCTTTCACAGATTCCAACAGCTATAGGGATTTTTCCCACGGAATCTATTTTTGCGAATTTGGATCACTTATTTTGGAGGATACATTCGGAGTTAAATTCATCAGCTTTTCCATGGATCATCTGATATATTTGGAAAACAAGGAATGAAAAAATCTTTGAAAATATAGACAACGACCCATTAGAGGTACTACAGTCAGCGGGAAAAGAGGCTCAATTGTGGCAGACAGCTCAAATCGAGATTCATAATGAAAATCATGGTTCTATGGATTTGGTAACTCGATCTCGAGTGAGGGAAGCTTCACTTGATTCGAATTATTCTGGATATCGTTGTTTTGTGGATGGATCGTGGAAAGGAAGTGATAAGTTCTCCGGTACTGGGTAGTTTTGTACATCATCAAATGGAGAGCCGCCAACCATGGGAGCTGCCAACCTCCGTCGAAGTCTATCTCCACTACATGCAGAAGTCGAGGCCCTTCTCTGGGCGATGAAGTGTATGATTGGTGCAGATAATCAAGAGGTGGCGTTCTTTATAGACTGTTCTGACCTGGTGAAGATGGTGTCTTCCCCAACCGAATGGCCGGCGTTTTCAGTGTATTTGGAGGAATTTCAGAGCGACAAGGAAGAGTTCTTAACCTTCTCTTTATCTTTAATTTCTCGTAGTACTAATGTAAAAACGGATAATCTGGCACGAAAAAAAGCAATTTCGGATGCCTCTTTTAAGCTCTAAGTAATTTCGGATGACAAAAAAAATGCTCTAAGTAATTTCGGATGACAAAAAAAAAGCAACTGACAGGTAATAAATGTTCATTAGTTGAACTAACATAATAAATAAGACATTTGATTTATTGCAAAAACGTAGAGAACCAAAACGTATGTAGAGTGTTATTAGTATTTATATACATGTAACCACATATATAAAGAGTTATTAATATTTTTACATTTGTAAATATTTAAATATAGATCTACAATAAAATTTGAACATTTACGCAAAACAAATTTTGGCATCCACACTGATCTATAATGCAAAAGTGCAGATCTAATTGAACTCTTGGAGAGATATTAAAGAATATAGATAAATAAAAAATATCCGGATTCTCCGGTGCGACAGAATGAATAGTATATACGGCGAATTCTCCGACGCATCGGAGTAAATAGTATACACGACACAGCAAAGTAACTAATATACACAACGAACCAGTTAAATCAGAATAGAGAAAATTTGAACAATAGTGTTAGAGGAAGCTGAGGAGACTTGAGAAAATGATGAACAAGTAAAGCAAATGAACATCCAAGAGATAATTTGACGTGTTTGTCTCATTTATTACGATGGAAACGCGTGGGTTTAGTCTAGGCAAAAAATTGGACTAAATATTTCATTGTTTTAGACTCTATATTGAATTACCAAAAAACTAATTTTGCCCAGATCCATAGTCTTTCACCCAATTATCTCTTTATATTATTTGTGGTTTAAGGTTTTTGCACAAAAATTAAGAAAACAATTAAGTTTTCTACTTTATCCTTACTTAATATATTTTCTAATTTTTTGATTGGTCAAGATATTAAAACAATGAGGATAAAATTGGAAATTCAACTAAATCTATGTATTGAAAATCTAAAACGACAACTATAATGAAACAAAATTTAAGTGCTAAAATTTCCAACTAAACTAAAATAGAGGGAGTAATGTTTTAATATTACGGACTTATAATTTGTATTGATTTGAGCATATATGATTTTTTTTCTATTGAGTTTTATTGTGATCGAATACTTTTTCGAAATAACTAATGTACATTTTAAAAAATCAAAGTATTATTAGACTAAAAACTCCCGAATTCTCTTCAAAATTCTATATATGTCAAACAATAAAATAATATGATATTTAACATAACTATTTGACGCATTGATCATGATCTCGGAGACATTATATAAAAATAAAATATAAAAAGTTAGTATTTCTCTTAAGCTGTTTTGTTTGGCCTTTATTTGGTGAACATGATCAAAAGAAGGCGTGGCGAGCTCGATCGTTGTGTAGCGATTGAGAGCCTTGCATATCGTAGATGTTGCTTTGCTTCTACAGTTCTACGATAATGGATTTTGCATGGTCCAATCTCAGATGTGAGATCCAATACCAATATATATATTAGAAGGGTTTTATTTCATTCACATTCCGATTTTCTCAAAGTTTTTTTTTTTCTTTTTTTCTTTTTGTTTTACTTTTGCAATGAACGCTTTCAAGTCTTAGTATTACCAATTCACCTTGAACTGATACCAAAAACACCAGACCACACCTATCAGTTCATAGACAACCAATTAACCTTCCCAATTGGATAAATTATATTATATAGTAAATAACCAAAGAAAAATAGAATTGGAAATAGAATCAAAAATCAATTTGCTTAGCCACACTTTTGGACTTCAGAGGCAGAAGAATGGGAAAAGGTGGACTCGACCACACCTATAAGACAAGTTGAAATTAAGAGAAAAGTGAAGCTAACATACTTATCATAGGTTTTTAGGGGTTGAGACTGAAGAGCCTTATACAAACAAAAGATTGTCCAATACTTGTGACCACATTTCACATATTCACAAAACCAAGTTACTTCGGCTATTTTGCTAATCCGTCATTTTCATGTTGTTGAACTGTGTCTAAAGAGTAAGCTCTCTTTGTTAACTCTTTAAAAACACTAATCAAATTAAGGGCTGAAAAATATAGTAATTAAACTAAGGTTATATGCATTAGACAACAATAACTGAAAAATGGACAAAGGTGGCGTTAATTTGCAACCTTACCTGGACATAAATCATATTTTCTCTTGCAAAAATAACATTGGCATCAGGTTACAAATTAAGGCCAAAGTAAATTAGATTTTTCACTTGCTATTAACAAAAAAAGATATTAATTTATTCCATAACACAAAATATCATATACACTACTGATAAAAACAAAACCATAATATATCCTGGCTCAACTCAGCCAATAAAAGTACCTCAATTCCTTTTCAGAAAACAAGTAGTCCTAGTTCGAATCTTTTAATAGTGACATTGTAGAAATATGTTTCGTAAGAATGTATTTCTATTCTCAACATCCCTTTTTACCGCTACTTGGTAGTCTAAAGATACTTTCATTTTAGGCTTTTATGTGAGTACGAAGACCTCTTAATTCCTCGCATGTGAGATTTGGCTAACCTATTAAACCCTAAAGTAGACCATTGTAGAATCTATGTTTAGTAAGAATGTATCTCTAACCTCAAAAACCTTTTTTTACTGCTAGCCTCAAGATATATATCCTTACTAATTACTAGTCCAAAAGATAACATTAAACCTCTTCATTCCTCGCGTGTGAGACGATTTGGCTAAACCTATTAAACCTTAAAGTCTACCACATACATACATAGGAATAGGATAATGAAGTCCATTACTCTTTTTATAGTTTATTCTCTTTGTATACCTTCACAATTGGTGTATATATGCGTTGCTCATCATTCTTCATCTTCTAAGACATTAAAAAAAAATGGCATTACCTAATTCACTCTTCTATACAATCTTCTTCATCTTATTCTCATCGATTCCAATTGCTCACAACATGTATCTAAGCCCATCACCGGCTCCAAATCCGGCTTACGATGATAACGACAGTATTGGGCCAACCGTCTTCGACGTGACTTCCTTTGGAGCCATCGGAGATTGTGCGACCGACGACACATCAGCATTCAAGATGGCATGGGACGTTGCATGTATGAGCACAGGGTCTAAGTCAGCCCTGCTTCTTGTCCCCTACACATTCTGTTTCTTGGTCAAGCCAACCACCTTCAACGGTCCTTGCAGAACCCAACTTGTGCTACAAGTAAGCTAATTTCATAATCATATTTTCATGTAGTGTTTCATAGTTTCATGTACGGATTGTTTACTTCCATATAGATCGACGGGTTCATTCTGTCGCCGGATGGACCGGGGTCGTGGCCGTCGAACTACCAGAGGCAATGGATGATGTTTTACAGAGTGAATGGATTATCAATTCAAGGCTCTGGTGTTATCAATGGCCGTGGCCAGAAATGGTGGAACCTTCCTTGCAAACCACACAAGGGCATTAACGGAACGACTCAACCCGGTCCTTGTGACAGTCCTGTAGTAAGCCATTCGTCTCACAATCAAACTTTTTCTTGTTATGAAAAAATTAGTGGATTACATTAGCTAAAAATGTCATTTTGATTCGATATCAGACGATTCGGGTATTTCAGAGCTCAAAAGTGAGAATCCAAGGGCTTAACTTCATGAACAGCGCCCAGTTCCATGTAAGGTTTGATAACTGCAGTGATGTAGTTGTTGATTCCGTGACAATCAAGGCACCAGCTTCTAGTCCTAACACAGATGGGATCCACATTGAGAATACACATAACGTTCAGATTCACAATTCCGTGATTTCCAACGGTAATTTTTCCCCGTTTTCGCGGTTTCTCAACAGTAAAAGTTAGCTGATTCCAATCCTTTTTGTTCGGTTATAACAGGAGATGATTGTATTTCAATTGGAGGCGGCTGCTTTAATGTCGATATTCAGAATGTTACGTGTGGTCCAAGCCATGGGATTAGGTATCACCTTCATAACTTCCATTAAATATTTCCATCTGCCAAACTCTATGTGCCTCTTAAAGAATAGGCTTTAGATTCCCAGCCTTTAGGCTCTGTTTCTCAGAAAGTTTTGTTTTGTTTTTCTGGTTTGAAGTGTGAACAACGAACCTATGGGTAATGTTGCAGCATAGGTAGCCTCGGACTCCACAACTCGCAGGCCTATGTCTCGAACATAACAGTGACAAACTCAACCATATGGAACTCAGACAACGGTGTTCGGATCAAGACATGGCAAGGAGGGTCAGGCTCGGTTTCAAGAATTGTGTTCAGTAACATTTTGATGGTCAACGTTCGTAACCCTATAATGATAGACCAGTACTACTGCCAAACCAATAACTGTGCTAACCAAACCAGCGCAGTCATTATTAGAGATGTTCTGTATGCAAATATCAAAGGGACTTACGACCTGAGAAGCCCACCGATGCATTTTGGTTGCAGCGACTCTGTCCCCTGTACCAACCTGAGACTCGCGGATGTTGACCTGTTTCCTTCCAAAGGCCAGCATTTGGAAAACCCATTCTGCTGGAACGCATATGGAAGCACACAGATTACAGTGCCACCTGTTTATTGTCTTCTTGATGCACCTCCGGACTTCTAACAGAAGAAGATGTGTTCAACGCTGTTCACCAACTTGTATTTGATGTCAGTAAAGAGTATCGAAGAAATTAGTCTAAAGGTTAGCCATTATCCTGAAAGTATGAAACTTTTTAGGATGCACACTACATACAGTTGTGATAGGCTTAAAGAAGTCAATATAGTTTGTAACATAAATAAATAAAAAAGTACTTTGTCAAACCGAAGAAGACCATTAACTCAGATTCATACTCTGAATTTTCCTCAAACATTGCAGCTTTCCCGAATTCCCAACGCATTCGCACCACTAGAAAGTAGGCGTATATCATTTTTCATTTGATTAAGCTAACACTTTTGAAGAAGGAAATGAATCTAGTTTCGAAAACTTAAAAAGACCTAATGCATATATGAAGAGGAGATAGTAGAGAACTGAACTTATATTCCATTTATTGGTAGGCGTTTTTTTCGTGGGGAGACAATCAGTCCATGATGCACATTTCATGACCAAGAATAGCCACATTTGGGATAACATTACTTGCAAATAGAAGCGAGTACCTCCAGCAGAGAAACCGTGAATCTCATTTGGGTTTCTTCATCCACGGCAACAAAAAGAGGAACGTGAACAAAGAGTGATTTGGTCTTATTCTGCTCTGCAAATCTCAGAGAGTGGTAATAGACATAGTTGCACACAAATCGACCTGCATCATCCGATGTTATCACTTCAAAGCCCTTCTTCTCCAACGCCTTTCTTATCTCTTTAATAGGAAGATTCGTCTGCAAATCATAAACAAGATTCAACATAAAAACAAGAATGGCCAATTCTGTAGACCAAAAGCTCAAGAAACACCGCTTGAGGAGTGAGTGTCTTCGACATACCTTTCTTACAGTTGAGATTGGACCATCCGAGGGAACAATCGGCAAATTCTGCAGACCACAAGAATGATTCATGGAACTAAACAACTTATCAAATAAAAACAACCGAAGGAGAGTGAAACAAAAACCTGAGGTTTCCAACCCAATTCATCAGGACAACGAAAAGTCGCTTCATTCACAGCTTGTTGCTCAATTGCAAATTTCGTAGCGCCGCTATTAACTCCAAAGTGAACCTAAAGAGACATCACAATGACTTCAGAGAATCCTCAGCTCAAATCACTTGGCTTAACTAACTAAATAACTAACTAACTAACTAACCCAAATGGTTTTCCCGGTCAACAACTCTGATTCTTTCGTGTTAACCGCGGATTGTAACATCTGATAAAGAGAAGCAAGAGCTCCTTGACCAGCGGTTTCAAGCACAGTACAGCTACCGAGAATCAGATCTTTCGACACACAATTCTTCGCCAAATACTCTTTCAAATTGTTAGCCATTTTCTCTGTAGGATTCTCAGCTACTCCATGGAACTTCTTGAACCCTGTGATATGAATCGTCACACCTGTTGGTCCTTCAGAACCCATCAATACAACTGAAACATAAACCTGTTTCTGTCAGATACAGGACACTAACAGTCAAATTTAGAACAATCAGACAACACTCTATGTTTAAATGAGAAAACGAATCCAGACCTCAACAAGTTCAACATAAAGTTTATGACTTTATCAACATAAAGAATAAAGTTTGCAGATTTTTCTATTTCCGTACGAACCCAACTGATTCAGATGATGAAAAAGATCAAAACTTTCAGAAGTCTGATCATCAATACTAAATTACTGATTCTAAAATCGCAAATACTAAAAATACCCAATTCAAAAAACTAGATCAAACCCAGTTCAAAAAGATGATCAAGAAACGTAAAAATCGAAACTTTTACCTCAAAGAAACAGATATTGAAAAGCTTTGTGTGTATCTTCGAGAGAAATCGATTTGAGAGAAAGAGAGAGATGAAAATGTGACACAACAACCAGTCTTTGTCCTTATCCAATCAATTGAAACCTAACTTTAATCATGTTCCACTTTGGACGGAAGTTTGATAATCTCAAAACAAGACATTAAGACAAAGAGATACATTATGTTTTGTATTCTTTTATTCCATATAACAAAAGTGGTAGGTCACTTCCCAAAGAGATAATAACAACAAATCATCAACGATTCAATTATTAAAACGAATAATGTCAAGATGATAATTGAGTGGTGCATTGATATGTGTGAAACATTCTTCTTATAATATATAGTAATAATACACAAATCTCAAATTAAACCAATAGAAGTTGAACCGAATTAAACCAATAGAAATGGACCAATCTCACCAATAGTCTCTACAAGAACACTCTCCATTGTTGAAATGATGGAATCTGTTTGCATCTCTTAGAATGATCTCTCTTTCTGTGACTTTAGAAATGAGTTTAATGGCGGCATGGCAATCTCCACAGACTCTAAGGTTCTTCATGACTCGAATAGGTACTCCTTCGGGTAGCTTTAAGAGTCCATAAGCTACCGCGAGTCTCTCGCTGTGACGGCTTAAGCTATCAACTTTCTCTTCCTCGTCTACATCGTGTAAGACATGACTGCAATCAGGACTATAACCAGCTTCTCTTAATAATCCATCTGTTTTCTCCAACATCATTAATATCATTGCTTGTTCGGGATGGTTTCTTATACCTCCGCGAGTGAACATGTGCACTTTTTTCCCTACCTCAATCCAGCTACATCCAGGGAATTTACTTACGTTCTTTGTCCTCATGTTTTTCCTCATTTCTGCAACATCTCCCCACTTGGATCGAGATGCATTTATGCTTGATAGCAAAATGTATGGACCAGCGTTTTCTGGTTCTATCTCGAAGAGTTTCTTTGCAGCAACTTCGGCTAAATCTAGTCGTGAGTGAGTTTTACACGCTCCTAACAGAGCACCCCAAACTGTAGCATCTGGCTTTATAGTCATACTATTGATCAATTCCATTGCCTTGTCTACTTTTCCTGCACGTCCAAGCATATCCACCGTGCAAGAATAATGCTCAACTGTTGGCGTCACGCAAAACTTGGATTCCATTGATTCAAATATCTCAAGCCCTTCTTCGAGTTTTCCACCATAGCTACATGCTGTCAGAATTGCAATTAAGGTCACTTTGTTTGGCATGGTACCAGACAATGGCATCTCATGGAAAACCTTAAGAGCTTCCTCTCCTAAACCGTGCGACGCATAACCAGAGATGATTGAATTCCACATGATAATGTCCTTTGAGGGAAACCTGTCAAATACTAGCTTTGCTTTTACAAGCTCACCGCATTTGACATACATGGTCATCAAAACAGAGGCAACATACACATCACCATCAAACTGACATCTAACCAAGTGAGCATGGACCTGCCTACCATATTGTAGACTTGCTAAAGTGGCACAAACCGAAAGAATGCTGATCAAAGACGGAAAACTCGGTCTAACTCCTTGTCTCTGCATTTGAGCAAACAATTCAAGAGCCTCCAATTCAAAACCTTTTCTTTCATAAGCTTTAATCATTCCTCGCCAAGTCGCATTATCTCTATCCTCCATTTGATCAAAAACCCTCCTCGCTTTCACTATCTCTCCTACCTCACCCAACGCAACAATCATAGCATTACACGCAATAACCGGCTTCATCGGCATCACCTCAAAGAACTCCTCAGCATCCTCAATTCTCCCACTCAAAGTATACCCCAAAAGCATAGAAGTCCACGAAACTTCAGTTTTCTCCGGCATCACTTCAAACAACTTCCTAGCAACATCCACTCGCTTATTCTGCCCGTACCCCGTAATCATCGTAGTCCAAGTAATCACATTCCTCTCCCTCATCTCATCAAAAATCTCTCTTGCCTCATCCACTCTTCCTTCTCTACACAACCCACCAATCATATTAGTACTCGCTACAACATCTTTCCCCGGCATCATATCATACAACTTCCTCGCATCATCAATACGTCCACCATCAATCAAACCACCAAACATCACAGTCCAAGAAACCTCATTCCTCTCAGGCATTCTCCAAAACAACAACTCCGCTTCAACAACCATACCTTCTTGCACATAACCTTTAACCATCGCGGTCCACGACACAACATTCCTCTCAGGCATTATCTCAAACACATTCCTAGCTTCTTCAATCATCCTATTCTTAATATACCCTGAAACCAACCCGTTCCAAGAAACTATATTTCTCTCAGGCATTTCATCGAACATTTGGCGTGCTTCTCTCGGTAAACCGTTTGCGAAGTACCCAGAGACAATTGAGTTCCAGGAACCGATTGCTTTATAGCGTAACGAATCGAAAAACTTTCGAGCTTCATTGATTTGACCGATTCGTGAGAGACGAGAGATCTCAAAACTATTATTGACTCCAGTGCTTGTGGAGTACGCTCTGTGTAAGATTAACTTTAAACTCTTCATTAACGAAATGTGGTTTAAGATCATAATCAGCACATAAAAAGACGCGCGAATGCTCTAAAGCTGACAATTTTGGGCAGACCGTTTCAGTCTCTTAGAATTTGTAATAGCTAGGTTATTTAGCCGCGATACTCGCGGCTTGTTGCATATCATATGATACGTTTTTTTAATCTTAAGGACCAAATTGTTTTTAAAGAAATTCTTTTTAATTTGAAAAAATATTTAACCTCAAATTTTAAACAAAATAAACAGTATAACGATTTTTATATAATTATCTACTGTATCACAAAAAGTAAATATAAGAATACATATATTAAAAATAAATTACAAATTTTATTCGAGATAAGAAAAAGGTAAGAAATCTTTATTTAATAAATGTATTACAATAATTTATTTCATTAAATATTGCATAATTAAAAAAATTACATGAATATATTAGAAAATAATCAAACATCTAAAGTAGATAATGGAAATGGATCTTTTCAACTTCATTATATTGTTGTGTTATGATTGGAATTGATATATTTAACTCTCCATCACCAATAAACCTGAAAATTTTGTTATAACCATCAAAACTTTTAGTATACATATGTGAATTTAAACTAAAAATATGAAAATTAAAGAATAAATAAGTATATTTTAGTATGACTTTAGAAATATACAAAAATAAATACAATGTTAGATATATATAATACATTCGAAAATAAATTTAGAATCAAATTCTTGATTTGTAATCCATATAACAACATAAACAATAGACACATAAATATAGTAGAAGAAGATGAGAGAATGATTACTTATAAGATGATTATCTAAAATAGACAATGAAGATTCATCTTTCAAAAAAAAAAAACTAATGTAAAAACACAAAACAAAAAAATATTAAGATTTGAGTTATAGTGGAAGAGGGTGAGAGGATGAGAGTATGAGAGAATGAGAAATGAGTATTTATAGGATGAGAAGTGAGATAAGTTACAATTAAAAAAATAAATTATGGGAGTTACAATTCTAATTTATTGTGTGTTGAATAAAATTGAGTGGAAAATTATAGTTAATGTATAATTTTAATGATTTCAGTTTTTATATTAAAGTGTGACTTAAATGTGTTTTAATTATGATTTAATTAAAAATAAAAAAAATAAGTTACATTTCCAAATGGACCAATAAGAAGAGAGTGAAACCTTACTTTTATATGTATGATTAAAATTATTTAATAAGCTTTATTAAATCAAGTTAATAGATTGGATTAATTTACTAAATTTAATTAAAACCCCAATGACAAAAAAATATTTTAAAGTTTAAATTCATAATCACAAAAAGTAGAAGGTCAGATACGGGCTAACGGCCAAAATCAACCCTAACTATTTTTATGCGGCGTTTTTCAACTTAAACTCTGACCCTCTGTACTTATTAACTCGAACTCACACAATTTTTAAGTAACAAACTTCAACTATGTAACCGTTAGCGAATTTCAACATAGTTTTTTTTTTGTATTTGTTAATGTCGATTAGAACTGTTAAGTCGTAATTATCTGTTATTTTGTATCTGAATCATTTCTTTTATTCAATTGGCTATATGTTACATAATTTCAGCCAACGACTGTGAGATTTTTCTCTCTCGATCTCTTATTTCACTCATCCTTCTTTCTTTCAATCTCTTCTTTACTCTTGGTTCTTGATCTCGAGTTTTTCCTTAATCTTTGGTGCTACTTTTTTGTGTGAATGATAGGTGAGTTTGTTTCCCCTCTTTTGGGATTACAACATTGTCCCCTTCCAGCCAACTATGACGTGAAGGATTTATCGAAGAATATCATTACATCTATAAGATTAGTGTCTATGGGAGATCCAAATGGTCCAATATATCATCAGCTTGGAAAAATATATATATTTGGGACTTCTGTTCAAAGTTATGATTGCTAGAACTTAGAATATAAAGAACAACACTTCTTTATTAGATTTAGAAACTCTCACAAAACTATATCTCTTCTCTAAGTCATATAGAACATTTCTCCATGGACCCTTGTATTTATATAGAGCTTGGATATCTCCCAAGTCTATTAGGATTTGGTTATACACAAACTCTATCAAGATACTTTATCATTATCTAAAACTTATTTGTGAATATCCTCTCTTATCTCTAGAAGCTTCATCTTCAAGAGATAACTTCTTCCTCAAGTCTTGAATTATCCAACATTCCCCCCCCCCTTAATTCCAACTTGAATTTTGGGAGTCTCGATCTCTTCAACACCGATTAGGTTCCGCATTTCCTTGAACTTGATTCTTCCCAATGGCTTGGTAAGAATGTCAGCCTTTTGGTCCTCGCCGGGTACATGCTCAACTTCGATTTGTCCGTCCTCCACACATTCCCGAATAAAATGATACTTCGAAAGTATGTGCTTACTTCTCCCATGAAACACCGGATTATTGGTCAAAGCTATAGCCGATTTGTTGTCAATCTTTAGTAAGACCTTCTCACCTTCAACGCTTAGTATCTCACTCAACAATTCTTTAAGCCATATAGCTTGTTTAGCAGCTTCTGTAGCTGCCATGAATTCCGCTTCGCATGAGGACAATGCGACCTTAGGTTGCTTTTGCGATGTCCAAGTAATTGGTGATTGATGCGGTCATCAACCCAAGAACCAACCATGGAGATGGGCGAGAAACAACAACCCAGGAGCAGCCAAGTGGGATTTTTAACCAAGTTTTATCTAAAACTTCGGGCCAAACCAGATTCAGCCTACCGGAGAAGACCCCTGAGCCTTGTTCAGTCCAGACGAAGTCCAAGATCATGTCCTACGTCCTAGCGAATACTTGGAATACATTCTCAGCTCAAATACCGAGCACCTCGAAGAAGAATCAGCCCAAAAGGAGTTCACACGAAAAAGTTATTCAATTTACAAGTCGGGTGATTCCCAGCTTGCCCGATTTGGACATACACGGAGTCATTGGAGGATTCCGACCCGATCAGAAGGAGTTAAGCTACGAAGTGAATTTTCATACAATCTTAACTCATCAGCGAACCACGAAGAATTGGAATCAAGTCAATACCAATTTTTGTTTGAGAGATATTAAGTTTCTAAACCGGAGGACCCTCGACTTGCCTTATTTGGAACCTTATGGGTTTAGGAGACTCGAAACGTATCATTGGCGCCCAGGAGACTTTATGATACTTCTAGAAGATCCCTACAACACTATAGGGTGCACCAATACACATGGGATCAGGTGGATCCTCCCACACCTTCACTTTCCATATCCGGAACCGAACTTGCCTTATTTGCCTTCTTTGGAGACAAAGGAGATCAACCAGCAACAACTCTTTCTCCAGCTGTTTGAGTGCGTTTTAGAGACCCTCCAAGAGCACAAGAGACTTCCAAGGACGCACCATTTCCTTCCCAAGCTTTCAAGATACAAGCTAAAGGCTACTTTCCTTATTTCGCCGGATTTTGCCATTTAATTTCCAACGGCTAGTTTCTCATTCAATTTTGCGATTTGATTCTTGTTTTAGACATTAGAGCTGTTGTATTTCGAGCCTATATAAGCTCAGCTCATTCTTCATTGTAATCACCCTTGATCACATTAAAGTAATAAGAACATTTTCTTCTTGTCAAAGTTTGAGTCTTTGTCGTTTGTTCATTAGTCTTAAGTGAGTGAGTCTCTTAGGCCTATTTGAATCTGCGGATTAAGTTTGTTGATAAGTTCAACATCCTTGTTTCGTTCATTGATCGAGTGAGTCGATACCCATTGATTGAGCGAGTCAATCATACACTATCTCCACATCGTTTCCATCCATCCGCGGGATTAAGCTTGGAATCTCTTGATCATTGAGTGATCATAAGTTGGATTGGTTCCAATCTTATATCAGTGATGAACCATAGTAGAAAACGTGTCCCGAGGTGCTTCTTCCGTCGTCAACATCAACATTGTGACTACTATCACTATATCCGGTGATCCTCCTTGACCCGTCTCTCTTAAAAAACAAACCAAAGTTTGTTGTTCCTCTTACATACCTTAATATCTGTTTGACCGCAAGCCCATGAGAATTTCTTGGACTTTGCATATACCAGCTTAGAACTCCAACAACAAAGGAGACATCCGGTCTTGTGTTTAGGAGGTACCTAAGACAACCAATGGTTCGTCTATATTCGGTTGCATCAATCTCTGGTTCTTCTTCCAATTTATTGATGTTTTGACTTGGATGCATTGGTGTATGAGTCAAGTTACACGATTCCATCTTAGCATCAATAAGAATTCCTTGAGCGTATCTTTCTTTCTTTATCTCTATCCCATCCACTCCTTGAATCACTTCTATGCCAAGATAATACGTTAACTTCCTTAGATCCGACATCTCGAATTTCTTTGACATATCTTCTTTGAATTTCTTGATGACTTTAAGCGTGGTTCCCGTCACAAACAAATCATCCACGTAGATAGCCACAATCAAGACGTCCTTCTTGTCGTTCTTCCGATATACCGTCGGTTCTGATTAGGAAGTTTTCTATCAATTAATATTTCCTCAAGGTCCAAAAACCACAATCTAATGGTTATCGTTTATAGCACTTAAGAGTCGAATCCACAGAGAACTAGAGATCTAAGACACTAAGAATACATAAAATTTCTTAATCTAAGCAAATATAAGATTGGTTTTAAATTAACAACCTAAGTGAAATGAAAACAAAAGGAACTAAAATGCAAATGAAATAAACAAACCAAAAGCAATTGACAAAGCTAAACAAGTGTCTAAGCTAAGCAATAACCCATAAACATAAAGCAATAGCAAAATAAATGAGAAAGATGCAATTTATAAAAGTCAACAAAAACTCAACAAAAGTCAACAAAAAGTCAAAGACGAAAATGCTAAATGAATAAGCCTTTGGGTTAAGGTTATTGACTTGGGTGGTCAAAGGATAATCTATGATGCTAATACAATCAATCATTTGCTAATCCTTAGGTCTAAGATCACTAATTTAAGCTAATCCACTTCCATGGCAATAACTCTACACTAATCAAGCAATTAACATCAATTTCCATTGGCAATCACATGACTAATATGCATTAATTTCAAGCCTAACTAACCACCTAGCACCCTAATCATCAATTTCCATTGGCTAGGAATGCTAAGC